GGGGGGGGGGGGGGGGGGGGGGGCAATTCTACAAAGGAGAAATTTCCAAAAAATATATATATATATATACAAAGGACCATCTCTAGACTACACAAACTTCCATTAGTTAATTCATCTTCCTAAATATATTACTTGCAACAGCCTCCTCAACTTGCAACTCCCCCATCCACAACCAAAAACAGGGGAGGGGAGAGAGGGAGGCACAATCAAAACAATTGTATAGACAAAGTATAGAGTTCTTAGATTTCACGAAATTATATATGATGACTAGAGTTCTTAGATTTCGGGGGAAAAAAAACAGACATTTATAATATGCACTACAGTAAACTGTGCTACACATACTAAAAGTACTTGATCTTAATGGTTAAGATGTCTAAGAAATCATTATCCGAACATAATCGATGTGAAGTCAGCACCCTTTGGTTTAGGAACAAGGTTAGGACTCCAAATATATCCATGTGGGACATCATACTCAGAGCCTTGTGAACCACTTAAATATGTGACTGGTCGTAGCTTCAATTGTTTCTTCCTCAGATCATTTATCATGTCTCGTATTCCAAGCCAAATCAATGAATCAACAATTTGATACGACAGCTGCAGAATTCAAACCACACCAAAATTCAGTGAGTAAAAAAAAATGGACAGAAATTTACCAGAAAGGAAAAATGCTGCAACAATAAATAAACAAAAAGAAATTTGCTCACTCTATATCCAGCCGGTTGCTTAACACGGGATAAAGGATGAGGAAATTCACTGGTTGGACTGTTAGGAGGAGATAAAAGGTTTATTTAGCAACGCTATCAAGAATTCTCATCTAACCACATATGGGGACCAGAAATCAATACATCAAAAGGAGAAAGAAGGATATAAAATGCAAACTAGATTATGGATACTGATACATATTTCAAAGTAAAACTCCATTAACCAAACAACACTTACGTCCATGGCATCGTGAAAAATATATGAACCGGAACTTTCAATGCCTCCGCCACATGTGTATGCCCTGAAAAAGGTATTTGCCCAGATTAGTGACTGTACAATATCCATTAGCATGCAATGTGCCCGGAGAACATGCAAATTTTGGAAACATGAGATGCCAGATATTGTACAATATATATAACAATCATAGTTTTTGTTTCTAGATTTAGTTTTCTGTAAATACAGGTAATATAAAACTATACCCACTTTGCCTCTTTTAGTATATATGATCAAAATATATTCCCAACAGGATGTCCGTCCCAAAAAGCAATTTCTGGGAACGATAACAGCAACTCAATCAGCTCTTCTAGCCATTATAACTGCCCAAATACGCTTTTGTTCATCAATTTTGTTTTTCTGTGTATACATGGGTTCTACACAACTTAGTCCGAGGCCTCCTTAAGTGCTTTCTAGTGGAGTCATTAGATATATAGAATCTATACGCTAAGGATTTGGCTTTACATGGAAATATTCACAACCACCCATAAAAAGAATCTTGTTGACATGACCTGCCACGGGACTCCCAAAACAAATATTCACGGTTGATGTATCAGTGACACCATTTAGATTAGAAACCCTTCGAATTCCACTGGGCAAATTTTGCTATGCAACTATCATATCCATTTACACAAGCAATCTTCGCAATCATGTCAATAGGGACCTTAAAATCACATAGAGATGGCTATTTTATTTTGACAAGACATTAAGTTGGATATAGAACCATTTGAGGGTAGATGCAACTGTTATCGTACAGATTCCTTTCATGGGTCATATCTAGTTAGAGACTCGGGTCTGTTCATTTTGCTGGAGGGACATGATAAGTAGTATACCACATTTTATTTTTCAAAATGGCTAACAAGATCAAGGTTATCCCTTAATGTATATATGGAAACTGGAAAGGTATCAGCATTACAAACATTATGCTGCAAGCTAAACCTGTGTTATCTGGCAGTGACTTTTTTAAACATGCTTGCTAATTGTAATACAGATTACAAAAAAATTAAAATTACTATAGAGAACTAGAGCACCTAAAGAAGTCTGCTAATTCCAAATAAGTCCTACTTTTTGCCTTAAAAAACCATCAAGTCCTAGCATATTTTTGTTTGGACAATAAATCCTACTCAATGTTACCTGAATCGTGGGATGCTATGGTACGACACTTTCTTAAGTACGCGGTACGATGAAGGTAGGTTTTGTTAGTACGGTATTTTAGATCGCAATTCGTTTTGGAACTCTTATGTAAATTATTTTTACTACTATACACTATTATATATTATAGAACATTTATAAACACAACGTTAGTTACCATTTATTTTATAGTTATACTTGATTTTCTATTATCTAATGCAATATATAATTATAAATCTATATACATATAATCAATTAATATGTATTTTATATTTGTGCTACATGTTATAAAGTGAATTGATTTAAAATTGGTATTACAATTTAGGGTCGTCCATTTTAATGATCTGAATCGCGAACCCACCTTATTTGGGATCGATGTGCTAAGATCATAGGTCGTTAGGGTTTAGTGAATTGTGGTAACCATGATCCTACTTTTGATTAGGTGTGTCAAAACATAACACAATCCGTCAACACAACATGAACATAAAATAAAATTAAATAGTTTGGATCTACTTTAAGCCACCTGTTTTGTAAATAAGTATACCCGACTTCACACAACTAATAAACAGATCGGGTATCGATGAAATCAATCAAAATAAATACACGACACGAATCCACTCGTTTATACAATAATTTAACATGATTCATATACGACACGAACCCAATACATGATTCGTTAGACCGGAATTAATAGACAAATCAAGTATGGAGTATTTTTTACACGAACCCGCATTGCCCGTCACGATTGACNTTATACAATAATTTAACATGATTCATATACGACACGAACCCAATACATGATTCGTTAAACCGGAATTAATAGACAAATCAAGTATGGAGTATTTTTTACACGAACCCGCATTGCCCGTCACGATTGACAGCCTACTTCTGATAATATATTCCCTAAAGTCCTAAATACATATATTTCTTCTTTGCCCTTTACCATTAAATCACCAAAATGTCATTTAAGTTTGGGCTACCATTTGTTTTACACTTAGCATGTCAACGGATCAAATTAATCTAATCCACTTTAAAAATTCTTGTCCAAATTTGATTTGAATATCCAAAGGAATTCATGCTCATGATTTATATCTCAGTCCATTAAAAAATAGAACCCGATTTCATCCCTACAATTAATTTTTAGATAAATTCATTGTATCATATTTAAATTTTAACTCAATTTTATGACACAATTGTGTCATTTCATATTATAGGTATATATTTATATAAATGACTTCTATTGAATTAAACTTAGATCAGATATCAATATATCTAAATTTGAATCCGTGAAACTAATTTTTAACTAAACTTGGTTACCTAAAATAAAAGGTAAATATGTAATTTATGGTATCATAGGAAGGATAAAATTGGAAGAAAATGTTACTAATTGAGTTTAGGACTTCACATGACTAGTTTTGCAAAAAGTTGATCTTAATTGTTCTAATGTAGATATGATGGGACTTAATTTTAATTTACACGGAAAATTAGGATTTATTGGAACTTTCCCCTTTTTTAAATCCAGGTAGAATTGCATCAGCATCTACCCAAAAGTCCACAACTTGATGCCCCAAACCAGGAGATCAAAAAAAAAATACATCATACAATTGCAATCTTTGGTCACAAAAGCTAAGGTGCCTAGTTTCCAAGAGTGCCAGAAAATAAATTACGAGAAGAAAAGAATGAAAATGGAATCAATGAACTGCATAGAAAAAGGACTAGAAAGGTATTAGAAGATAATAACGACTTGATCTAACCATATGCTGGGGGATTAGCTATTATTGCATCTGCTTTGAAAGCAATCCCAGTATCAACATCAGGGTTTTTGCATGCTGGAAGTAGAGAATATATTATTTCCTTCATTTGATTTCGTTGAATGGGTATCTCTGAAGGTCCAGATGGCAAGAATCCTTTGTTTTTAACCATGTCTGTTCAGAAAAAAGAAATTAGTCATAAGCTGACAGTGAAACCACATTTGGTAACTTCATTAAATATTGTTTATTTGTATAAGCACATAAATTTTGAATCAACTCATTCCATGAACTGCTTTCATTCATAAAGCCCATTTTAAACTATGTTTTGTCTAATTCCTCATCCAAAAAAGGAGGTCAATGGAAACAAATAACAATGTGTGCATATAGACACACACTCTCTCTCTCTCTCTCTCTCTCTCTCTCTCTCTCTCTCTCACACACACACACACACAGCCACACATATGTAGTTGAAGCATGGCACACATGCAAAATAAGGAAATATATTAAGATCCCTATGTATCATACAAATGGGGTAAGAACTTAAAAAAATAATGAAAATGCAAAAAAAGGCTAAAAAAATTGTGGGTATATTCAAATAACACCCCCAGACTTATTCCCAATGTTGAAAAGCCAAGGGTGATCAAACGTCCATGGTTATCCATGTAGCTAACCAAAAATTAGATTGCAAATGTAGAAAACGTCTAGATTAAAGGAAGTGACATTGGGAAGTGCTATTATCTCTTACTGGTTCCATGTAGAACATTCATAATGAACTGATAAAACAATTTAGACCTTTTTACCCATCATACCAGAATAGAGGAATAGGTCTGAGACAATTGCTACTGTTGAGTTTGGGACAGGTCAGATGTGACTCAAACGCATGACAGCCAAATCACAGTGAAAAAACTCTCCCTTTTTTCCGTGACATAAACTCATGACACCTAAGTAGCAATGGAAAACCTTATGACATGACATATTATAGATGAACATGAGATGTCAGACGATTTACGCCCATGTGTGCCTCAAAACTATAGTGAACAATATGAGAGATATCGCATTAAGTGCTCCACGGATGCTATGTAACATTGCTTTTCAACTGTGAAGACATTGGCGACTGCTCGTTGAAAAGAGAAATAACCAGCATCCAACCCTGAACAAACATCAAATCAGTTTCAAAGCAACGAAGAACAGTACGAACATACATTCCGCAAGAATTTTTGGATCACCACCTAAAGGATAGAACTCCAGCCCAGCAGTCAAGACAAACTCTTTGAAATTTGAATGAGTTGCCAGTCTAACACGATGGCCGTAGTCCTGCATTTCAATATCCAACGCAATCAACAAAATAATATAGACCAAAGGATGGGGTTTTAAATCCTATTACTACAGTAGCTATATTCAGATACTAATAGCTTTTCAGGAAGTCAAATACCATTTTAACTAATCCTACTCTAAAAATTTAACAAAAAAACAGAAAGCAAGAGAAGGGGAGAAGTAGCAAAGTGTTATCAAACACTTCATACTTCATTTTAGCCAGGAAGTCTTCTCCAATGATTAGTTTTGGTATTATTCTTTAAAACAATCCCCATTGTATAAACAGAAAATTTCCCCACATATAAACCATGAGTGATGCTTTTCAAGAACTGGATGAGAAATGAAACTGGTGAGGCTCAGTAAAACTATAAACTCAATCTAAAAGTACCACAAATAATTTAAACAATTGACCTTTTGTAAGTAAAAATGCAAAAAAGATGGCAGATTGACAAAGAAAATATTCTAATTGGGTACTTTCTAGAGCTGAAGAAGCAATCCATTTACATTGAGTTTCCCTGCTTAGGGTTATCTACATATTCTCACTCTCTCACAGCTTATTCATGGTACAACCATCATCAGGATTGGAGATATTGTCATAAAAAAATGGCTCATTTTTAGATTAGCAATAGGATACACTATAGGTGCTAAAAGGGAGGCACAGGCCATATAACATGCCTAGTAGGCATATAACCTATCTAACTAAATGAATGTGAGTCTTCCATCCAAAAGAAGGGAAACATCATCAAGCTCCATACTCCTGTAGCAGGAGTCTCCACGACCTACGCCAACAAAATCCCTCCTTCCCTGCCCTCCATATACGGCACACCACATCAAATAATGAGGGGCAATCATCCACACCCTCTCACTCCGCACAACACTAATCCATCCAACAGCACTCTATCTGATGCTGGCATCATCCATGGAACATCAAAAAGAAAAACTAAGGTCCCATGGATCCCTCACAACATGATAGTGGAGAAGAAGTNCAATCATCCACACCCTCTCACTCCGCACAACACTAATCCATCCAACAGCACTCTATCCGATGCTGGCATCATCCATGGAACATCAAAAAGAAAAACTAAGGTCCCATGGATCCCTCACAACATGATAGTGGAGAAGAAGATGGCTCACAATCTTGCCTTCCTTCTCACAATTGTCAATTAATCTTTTCCTTCCAATTTTTTATGAATTTAATGGACCAATTAGCCAGGTTTCACTTAAAGTTTGGTCTCATAGTTCAATGTACAAAAGCAGAAAAGCACTACTTAGCCCAAAAAATTTTGATTTTCAATTTGGTTGCACCAAAGGTAGAGCTAATCCATTAAAATATGATGGACATACATTGTTAGTTCTGTGGACTGATGAATTCTATGTTTGAAGTAATGATCAAATATCTATGTAAGCATACAAATATGACATCACTGATGAAAATAATTATGGCACAGCAATTATATCAGGCAAATAAAGCGTAACAAGATACCAAGATCTCAAATTCATTGGCAGTGATATTCAAATATAGGAGTGTACCCCAATCCCAATACATTGATGTGATATTTACAATGCCAATGACAACGTCCAATGCTTTATATTAAAATTGCAAGGTTAAAGAAGTCTATATAATTTTTCACACAAGCATGTAGAGCTCCAACTCACATACACAGTAGATCCAAAAATCAAATTCTTTAGCCTATATGAGTCTTCTTACATATCCCTTGTTGACAGGGAAGCATACATCGTGCCATTGAAGCATATGATTAGATTACCAAGGGGACATTTAATGAATATGTGCAAATGACTATTGCAATCAACAGGAACAAAAAAGTTTCTTTACGATAAAGGGAAGATATAAAACACAAGAATAAAAGATGAAGAAAGTCTCCATGCCTGCAATCGTTTGCCAATAGCAACAAATGGCTGCACATCACCACGCGTTCCAACAATAAGCATTACTATTTGCAGTGGTGGAATGTATCCAGGCTCTGTCTCATCGAGAGGTTCCACGTCAACATTATATACATTTTCATATCCAACACCAAAAGCCTGGGTTTCGGCATCTCCTGGAACTTCAAATTCTACTGTTCCATCATCTTTCACTGTAGCTATTCTTTTCAACAATTTTAGCTGCAGAGTTTCAAAATGATTAATAGGAATCACAGGCATATAAGTACAACATCATAAAGTTACTACTTCAAATAAGTTATCATGCAATAATTTGACAAGCCAAAAGAAAATGTATAAATATACTGATATAGAGGCTTTTCCAACAGAATAATCAAATTAGTTCATATACCTCCATAAAAAAAACCAATGCCTCGAAACTTAAGCAACTGCAACTAAAGTGCAAAACATTGTTGGTCACAGTCAACAAACAGTAACATTATCAGACAGCTCAATGTCAACTGATCGTTATGAGAGTAAGCCACCTTAGGCATTACTCAATTTGTCTCCTTAGCTGAGGATGCTAGTAGGGATAACAGGGTGCAGACCAAGATTCGGAATATATTTAGCCTAAATTAACTGCCTTTAGATTCGAACTCATATCTTCATGGTTTTGGCACAGCATTTTATCGCTACACTAGGCAATGTCCAAGGTTTAGTCACGTGAGCATGGAGTTAAAAGAGGCAAACTTCAACACCAAGTTCGTGAGAAATAAAAGACATACTTCCCAACAGGATACATTAATGTCAAGACGAAGATGTCAAAGGTCCTGCAATTTGGAACTAAACTAGTTGTGCNGTGAGCATGGAGTTAAAAGAGGCAAACTTCAACACCAAGTTCGTGAGAAATAAAAGATATACTTCCCAACAGGATACATTAATGTCAAGACGAAGATGTCAAAGGTCCTGCAATTTGGAACTAAACTAGTTGTGCGACCAACCTACACAGTCCAGGAGTCTGAATTAGGAAATGCCATTAAGTGATTTTATCAAATATGACACATACATCATATTTATGTACATCTATATGCATGCATCTGCACACGAATCAATTTGAGTATCTACACATTCTTACATGCAGAAACCGAAAAAAAAAAAAAAGAAAGAAAGAAAGAACCCCCAACCACATTACCAAACAGAGAATGAAGGACAAGACAAGGTGATTGAGATCGAAAAGGAATTAGATGTTGAATTTTATTACTTATTTTAATATTAGTATATTGGTTGTTTGAGTGTAAGAGTATTAGTCAGAGTTTGACTAGAGACGTATTATAGAGTTTTAGTAGTATTGCAATTTAAGAGTTCCATTATAAAACTCTTTCAGAATTTTAGTAAAAGAATAGTACTTATTTTGGTAGGAGACTTGGCTTATAAATATCGATGTAATCCCCACTATTTTTATTAGGGTGAGAGTGTGTTTGTTAACCCAAATTCAATACTTAAAATATATGTATTCGGCACTTATTAATTAAGTCCGTTTGATAATTAAAATTAAGATATCTTAATATGTTAAGTGCTCATTAAACATAGGCTAAATTATTAAGTAGGAGATCTCTTACTGAATTCTGAAAGCTAAAAACACATCTTTTATAATTTTTTTAGAATAACAATTTTATCTCGAAATATTTCACATTTCTATTAAAACTTTTAATTGATATTTTCTCCAAAATCCTTCAATCTCCCTTAGCCTCCACTGTCACTGTCAAGCACTTCTTGTCTTATCTTGTTCTACTTACACACACACACACATAATCACACCCACACACACACGGGGTTAAATTAACATACCCACACATACAGATAGATCACACCCACACACATATATAATGCAACACATACGCTGCTCACAAACACACACACAGATCACACACAAATTAACACACACCACACCCTTGCAAACACACATAGATTAGCACAACTATTTTTTAATGTGGTCAAATTTTTGAATTAGATTTAGGATTCTATTAAAATTGGAAAAATAAAATCCCTCAAAAAATCCTATGAAAATTTGATCAAAGTTTCAAATTAAATTATTTTTAGTAAAAAAATATCAAAATTCATTCAGACTCCAAATACTGGCAAGCCCATTCATAAGCAACCAATATTTATTTTTTGTGAAAATTAGAACCAAGCATAATATGAGAAACTCTTTTACCAATAAGGGCAGTTGCAATCTCTTAGGACACATGTTATGTACTTTTCTGTAAATAGGTCTAATAGTCCCTTTATACTGTTTTATTTTTCAATTTTGACCTTTAGTAAATCACGCATATCTTTTCAAGACTTCTCTCTCTTCCTTTAATTTCTCTCTCCACTCTTATCCCTGCTCTCTCTTCCTTTAATTTCCCTCTCCTCTCTTTTTTATATTCTATATCATTTTTTATCTCTTTTCTCTTACCATCTTCATTTAATTCATCGTCAAATTGAAAACATCACAGAACGAAAAAATGGAGCAAATTTTTATCATGATCAAGCCTGATGGTGTCCAAAGAGGACCGGTTCGTTCGTTCTCAACCAAATTAAGCTCATTTTCTTCTTATTTCAGTCTTTTTTGTTCATTGTGCGTGATTCTTCTTTTTTTTGTGAATCTCAGATTTGTCCTAATTGATTAGGGAGAAAGTGTGAAAAAAAAATTAAATTCTTTTGTGGAACAGTAATAGAAGTATTGTTACTGTCCCAAAAATAGTAACAGTAGAATATTTTCACTATCCCATAACAGTAACAGAGGCATTGTTATTGTCGTAGGGTAATAACAGACGAACTGTTACTGTCGTGTGGATAATAACAGCAATGTTGCCAACATCCTAGAAAATATATATATGTGTGTGTGTGTGTGTCCTAGTGTCGTAATGCAAGTATATATATACACACACACATATATATGTGTGTGCGTAAATAAAGGAGATTTGCATCTATTTTAAATTTTGAATGTGAATTTTATATGGATAAATTATGAAATATCTAAAATTAAAAAGATTTGATTTTGTTTGATTTATTAATTATTTAATTGGTTTTGTTTGATTTTTGAATTGTGTAATTGATTTCGTTTGATTTTTGAATTATTTTGTGAAATAGATTTGGGTATTTCAGTCTTTGTATAAATACATGTCCTTAAAATCCCAAAAAGTATCTTCTTAGATGTTTCCTCCTAAAAGTCCAAGACACTATACCTAGNTATACTGTTTTATTTTTCAATTTTGACCTTTAGTAAATCACGCATATCTTTTCAAGACTTCTCTCTCTTCCTTTAATTTCTCTCTCCACTCTTATCCCTGCTCTCTCTTCCTTTAATTTCCCTCTCCTCTCTTTTTTATATTCTATATCATTTTTTATCTCTTTTCTCTTACCATCTTCATTCAATTCATCGTCAAATTGAAAACATCACAGACCGAAAAAATGGAGCAAATTTTTATCATGATCAAGCCTGATGGTGTCCAAAGAGGACCGGTTCGTTCGTTCTCAACCAAATTAAGCTCATTTTCTTCTTATTTCAGTCTTTTTTGTTCATTGTGCGTGATTCTTCTTTTTTTTGTGAATCTCAGATTTGTCCTAATTGATTAGGGAGAAAGTGTGAAAAAAAAATTAAATTCTTTTGTGGAACAGTAATAGAAGTATTGTTACTGTCCCAAAAATAGTAACAGTAGAATATTTTCACTATCCCATAACAGTAACAGAGGCATTGTTATTGTCGTAGGGTAATAACAGACGAACTGTTACTGTCGTGTGGATAATAACAGCAATGTTGCCAACATCCTAGAAAATATATATATGTGTGTGTGTGTGTGTCCTAGTGTCGTAATGCAAGTATATATATACACACACACATATATATGTGTGTGCGTAAATAAAGGAGATTTGCATCTATTTTAAATTTTGAATGTGAATTTTATATGGATAAATTATGAAATATCTAAAATTAAAAAGATTTGATTTTGTTTGATTTATTAATTATTTAATTGGTTTTGTTTGATTTTTGAATTGTGTAATTGATTTCGTTTGATTTTTGAATTATTTTGTGAAATAGATTTGGGTATTTCAGTCTTTGTATAAATACATGTCCTTAAAATCCCAAAAAGTATCTTCTTAGATGTTTCCTCCTAAAAGTCCAAGACACTATACCTAGGGGTGTCAATCGGATTAAACGGTTACGTGTCAGATTAAACGAGTGACGGGTGAAAAACATATAAACCCATACACGACACATTTAGTAAACGGGTAAAAATTTTCAATACGAACCATTTAATAAACGGGTAATACAACACGACTCGTTTAACCCATTTAAAAATAACAAAAAAAAACAAAAAAATTATTATTTTTACACTCCATTTTTTTTTTGCTTTCAAGTGTACTTTCCTCAAATGGAGGAGTTCCAACCATCAGCCAATAGTCAATAGCCAACAGTCCATGATAAGCCAAAGCACAAAGGTAAGCTAAAAGAAGGAGCCCATTGCCTCTGTTATAGGCAACTACAGCTCCCTGTCCACTCCCTTGTGTGTTGTGTCAATGTGGGATGCAAAGAAAAGGTCATTTAATGCCTCAAATGCTCAAAGCTTTTGTTTCCTAATTTTTTTGAACTGTTTTTTTTTTATTTTTTCTTTACTATTTTTTCTTTACTCATTCGTTATTTTATATATGTGTATGTGTGTTATTTGTCTCTTTGACCAAAAAAAATTTCATATATATATATATATATAAAATAATTATTAATTTATTATTATATTAAATTTATTTAAACGGGTGATAAACGGGTTGACAGGTCTCACCCAAACACGACCCGTTTATTAAACGTGTTTGGTGGGTCAACCCGTTTATCACCCAAACCCGTTAAGGTTTTACCTAAACCCGTTTAATTCGTGTCGGTTAATCGTGTCGTGTCAGATTTTGACAAGTCTAACTATACCGGCTTCCAAAAACCCAATATTTTTTTTATAATCCCATCAAATATGTAGCAAAAATACGATATCTAAAAAGTACCATATTGAAAGTTATAATTAAATAGTTATTTATTATAATTTATTTGGTGTGAAGTTACGATTAAAAAATATCAGTTAGAATTTATATGGATCAAGTTAAATTTTATGACAATTGACAACTTTTAAGTGATTAATTTAACTTGAATTAATTTTATTATCATGTTTCGTAAATGTAGACTACAATGTGATAATAGTGATAATAATTTAAGAATTATTTTTAATGATATATCTTAATTTTTTATTAGATAA